ACCTTACACCAGTGTCCGGCTGTGTTGACTTTACGGGTCCAGGTTAAATATGTGTTGAGGCAGGATGGGGACCTAGTTCAGTCATAAGGAAGGGATATGGACAACAGCACTTTGCAGTTCTGTTTTATAATTTACAATGTCGGGCCTGGATCCTACCACTTAATCCACTTGGGCAGCAATGTGAGGATTTCTGCACTCTCACTTACAGAGATGTGAAGGATATTAGGCTGAAATTATCTGCCAGCCCCAGCTAACACGGCCCTGACCACCTAGCTGGGAGTGCATTCAGCAGTGTGAACAGCACTAATAAAAAAGGACTAAAAAACCCAACAAAAACAACCCTGCACACTGTGACTGACTTCCAACTGCAGGGAAAGGCATGTGCTGAGTGCTCCCTGGGATATTCTCCACCCTTGTACAGAGCAAAGCGAGCCAAGCAATTTCTAGGTCTCAAATCCCGCCTGCCCTGACGTTCTCATCTTCCAGCTTCCCCTGGTTGCTTTTGAAGGCAAGCACGTGCTTCCTGGTGGCAGACCCTGCTCACTGAAGACGCTCGGCCTCTGCGCAAGGTCTGCATGTGTGCGGAGCAGAGCCAGCAAGAGGTGAGTAGTGCCTGCTAGGGTGGCTGCCAAACCAGCTTGAAGCTGGCAGCTGCAATGCCCCTCCTGTAAAGAGCCCTCCTGGGGGAGGCAAGGGAGGGGGACTGCTGCAGGATGAAACAATGCCATGGTTTCCTGTGAGGGGTGGCAAGGTGGGCATCTAGCACAGCGACCGTCACCAAGGTGGCTAAGAAAGGGGTGAAGAGGGAGGTGCAAACAATAGGAGAGGAGGAGGTTGGGCAAGGCTTTCCTGGTTGCTGCATTTCGGGGCCCCTGTTCCCTAAATGTGTCATGGGTCCTGAACTGTATGGGGAGGGAGATTTTTTTTGTTTCCTTTGCATATGCTCCTGCATGGTTTTATTTATTAATTTTATTTCTTCAATTGCCCTTCTGTGCAGCCCAGGTAACCTGCTCTGCCTCCAAAAGCCCCCCGGGTCACCAGACCTCAGCTACCCTTGACCCTAGCAGCATCTTCAAAGAGAGCATGAGCCTGCTACGGAGTGTGCAATGTTTGTTCTCTTATCGGGCAAGCAGCTACCGCCTCCCTGCCTTGGGGGGTTTCGTCAGCCTCCTGAAGCGCTCCAGGGGACACCCATCAGCTGCTGCTGTTTGCACAAGGTCAGTCCCCCCTCACCTCCCTGGTGCAGATGTTTCCTCAGCCCATGGTGAGCTCCCTGTCCTCAGTTAGTGACTGCTGCTCCAGTCTTACCTGGGCAACTTGTAAATGAAGCGCCTGCTTGTCTTGATGAGGCATTAGGTTTATTTTTCCACACCTTGCTGGTAAATGGGGCTGCATCTTTAGTATCTCCAGCCCCATGAGCCCACTTTGGAGCTGAGGTCTCAGTAGCAGTGGGCATACTGGGATGGGTCCAAGCAGAGGCAACTGTGCTCAGCAGTAAGCAGAGATGGAGGTGGTGCAGCATCAGGACATCCAGCCTATGTCTTTATGCAGGACCTTGAAGCCCAAAGTGCTTTCCCAGATGGGCCTGAAAATGGTGTATCTGAATTCAGGAATGCCTTAGCTGTTGGGCATGGGGAGAGGAGAGATGCTAAAGGTGTCCCTGCTGACCTTTAAAGGTCCTTTCCAACCCCAAATATTCTATGATTCTATGATCCTGTGTTCATCCCTCCTCCCAGCTGTGCCATTGCTGGTAGCAGGGGCATTTTCAGTGCATCACACTTCCTCCTGCAATCTAACCAGTCACAAAAAATGGACTATTCCTCCTTCTTGTGACATTTCTATTTAAAAAAAAAAAGAAAAAGAAGAAAAACATTCATTTCTGTTTGAGATTTTGTTGTTTCTTTGATTTGGTTGGGTTTTTTTTTTTGTTTGTTACTGATGGCGAAAAGCAAATGGGTACCTGAGCTTTGCAGGACACATCCACAATCTGATCCCAGAGTTGACAAGCTCCTCAGCTGCAGGGTCTGGCCACCCTTTGAGATGGCCCCAGGGTACTGGGAAAGAGTCCTAGCACGGAAGCAGCAAAGACAGCAGCCACCTGCCCCAAGGCCTGAGCCACAGGGAAGTTTACTGTCCTGCCTTTTGACGTTGAATTGCATCCTGTCCTCCTCATGGTGTGACATTTCTGCATTTTAAGGCACTCCCAAATTTATGAGGGGCGGCAGGGGCAGGGGGGGAGGGTGACAGGCAGCCAGGGCTACCCAGAGCAGCTGGGGGAGAATATGAGGTCAGGGATGGGGGGGGTCCCATGGATGGGGACGGACATGGACAGCAGCCCCAGCAAGGCAGAGCACATGATCCCTTGCTGCTTGGCTCCTAGCTGGGGTTGGAAAAAGAGATGCTGGGGTAGTAATGGAATGAGCACACGTAAGAGCAGGCACATCTCACACCAACTGTGAGAGACCCACCAGTCCTGGTCCCCAGACCTCTCCTGGAGAGACCGGAGGCCTCTGTCCCAGCTGTGTGTTGTCCCTTCCGTGTTTGCATTGCTGCCTTGGAGGCAGAAGCCTGGCCAGTCCAGCCCTGACCCACACACGCAGCTCACCAGGTGCTTTCCAACCCTGGCAATTGTCGCAGGATATAAACTGTGCCGGAGGGAAGTGCTGGGGCAGGCGAATAAAGGTGTTCCCACGAATTAATAGGAGGAAGAAAGAAAAACATGAGCCAGTTTGGGCTCGCCCCTGGAGCGGCGCATTTCTTTGGCCGGCTCGCTGCGTGTTTAGAGCGGGGCCCTTTGAAGGCTGATTTAAGTCCAGTCCTGGGAGGTGTCACCTGTTGGCACCGTGCCTTCCACAGCTCCCCGATGAGGTTTTTGTCTCGTTGAACGCTGCCGACAATAAGGGTCACTGGAGCACGCAGCTGGCAGAAGGCGCAGGTTAAGCCGTGTTTCCCAAAAAAACCCCGACAGCCCGGGGGGGAGGAGGGGACGGCAGGCGGTAAACAAGCTGCCGGGAGCCCAGCGGGGTGGCAAGGGTACGTTTCTTCCCCGCCGGCCTCCCGGGAGAGGGCGCTGGCCCCGCGGCGCCGGCGCCCGGCTTTTCTCCGCAGGCTCGTAAACACGTACAAGGAGAGGGCAGGGGCCTGCCACCAAACCTCCCCCGGGGCAGGGAGAGACATGCTCCCAACCCCAACCAGGAAAGACTTTGTCCACGCTGCGGGGCCCTCCCAGGCAGTGGCTTGCTGGCCGGGATGTATTTATCGGATGGAGACGAGATGTTTACATTGCAAAGCTGTCTCTGCCTCTTTGCTGCTCCTCGGGGTGATTCGGAGCTCAGCAAGTGAAAAGAGGCGCTGCTCAGCCCCAAGGTTCAGAGGGTCACCCTGCACTGGAGACACTTCCACCTGGGAACACCCTGGGCTTGTTAACTGGTGCCAAAGTTTCTGGGAAATTTGCAGCTATCAAGTACATTTCTAAGAATCTGGAGCTATTGGAGCTGCCAGTGTACCGATTAAACAAACTCTCCCAGCAAACCTAGGGAAAAGGGCTGGGCACAGCTTTGCATTGTGGTTTGACAGCCCCCTTTTATGGGAGCTATTTGGGATCTCTCCTGGCCCGACTGGGTCTCAGCACCAGCTCCTGCCTCCCTTTTGCGTCAGCTGAGCTGCTGAATTCAGGTAACCATATTCAGGTAACCTGGCCTGAATGTAAGATCCCGAGCTAATTTCTATGGGTAAAACCCAGCATTTGTTTCTGTGTTGACATCTTTATACACAGGAGGTACTGGGGGAGGCAGTTTCTGTCATGCTTGGTAGCTCTGCCTTGCACAATCAATGCCAGGAGGTGAAAAGCACTTTATCTGGGTTCTGGACAGCCTCGGGGGTTTAACACACACTGCGGCTGATCCAAGGTGGTGGTAAAGAATAAGAAGGGTTGTCCCCAGAGGGAGGGTGCGGACCTGGTTCTTGAGATGGGCAATAAATCAAGGTGAAGCTTTAGCCAGCACTTCCACCTCCTGGCTGAGGATCTAGCCGTACCTGTCCTCTTTTCTCCCAGACCCTGGCTGTTGAGAGGCTGTCTCTTCAGTAAGGTGATTGTGACAGGAGGGTCCAGCTCCAGGGATAGCAGTTTGAGTGCCAACCCCCGAGGCTGGCATGGGGCAGCCCAGCATCCTGTCACCCCGAGGCAGGTGTGTGGGTGGTGTGTACTTGGCCTGATACCTGTGTGTGCATGCAGGTATGTGCCCATGGGTGGCAGCTCATTCTGCCAGTGTTGGCATTGCTCTTCTCCCACCGCTTGGGCCGGGGTTGGGAGGTGCAGAGAGCTGAACAGGAGCGGGATGGGACAGCAAGAGCAAGCTGCTGGGGTGGAAAAATACTGGGCAGTGCCTGCAGTTTGCAGGATGCCCCCTGCCACCCGGGTGCCTCTGTAGTGGGTGCTCCTGCACCCACGGTGGGGCTTGCAGATTTCTTCTCCCTCGTGTGACAGGGACCAATCCCGTCTCCTGGAGCAAGGGTCTTAGCTCGGATCCAGAGGATTCAGGTGCCGGAGCCTGTTACTTGCTCCAAGGGGCAAGGGGGGATTGAGGGGGCACTGCCTGTTCCCCCACCCCCAAACATTATGCACCAAGCCTGGCCACGGTTTAGAAGGGGCTCCGGTTCCTCCCCCTCTTTCTTCCCCGCTGCCCTGTTTACCGTCAGCGGCTGATTTCCATCCCTAAGAGTTATGCAAAGGCAGCTGCTAATGTAAACCCCGCGGAAAGCCCTGGATCTGCTCCCGCCGCCGCTTTCTCTAAACTATGTGAGATGAGGGGTTGTTTTTTCGGGCCGAGAGGTTTGCAAAGACGACCCAGCGCTCCCCCCCCCCCCTCCCCCTCTGCCCGTGCGGGGCGAGGCGAGAGGCTGCCCCGTCTCCCGGGGACGGGGGGCACGGTCAGCCCAGCCGCCTCAGGAGGAGGAGGAGAGGGGCGGGGGGGTGGCCCCTCGTCCCCCCGGCCAGGCCGCCGCCGCCGCTGCCCAATCAGTGCGGCGGGGCCGGCGCTGCGGCGCCATAAAGCGGCGGCGGGTGCGGCCCTGTGAGTTGAGCGTGGGAGACTCGCGCCCGCTGCCGCCGAGCGCAGGTAACGGCTCCGCGGGGTGGGAGAGGGCCCCTCGGGGTGGGGGGTTGGTAGCGCCGCCTTGTGCCGCGCTGCCGGGGGCAGAGCTTTAAGGGGGATACTGCTGCTTCGCTTGTTTGTTGTGTGTGGGAAGAGGCAGCCCCAGTTTTCTCTTGAGAACAGATGCTTTCCGCAGGTTTCTGTCTTCACGAGGCTATTGGGCTGCTTGCGTAAATTGCCTCCCTGCCGGGGAACGAACGTGTGTGGGTGACGCTGCTCGCAGGGGAGTAGGGCTAGTGGGGACCTACCCCGGGCGGGCAGCGAGCGCCACCGTAGCGGGGGGGTGGCGGGGGCTGGCCCGGGCAGCCGAGCCTCCCTGCAGAGATGTGCCTGCGCATTGGAGCGACTTTTCGAGTCATTTCACATTTACAAGTCGATGGCATTTCTAAGTTCCTGCAGACACTGCTGCTTTGGTCCTGACACGCATGAGCTGGCTGTCCCAGCTGGCTGTCCCCGGGATCCCCGCTCCAGGCTGTGCCGGGCTTCCAGAGATGCAGAGCCCCTTCAGTCTCCTTCCCATCGCTGTCTGGAGGCTGCTGCCTGGGTTGTTCAGAGGTTGCTTGCGCTGCCTGTTGCTTGTATTTGCACTTCCTCCTTTTTTCTAGACGAGGCTTGTTTAACTTCAGAGCAGCTGATCTGAGAAGGCAGCTGAGGCTGGCAGGTCCTCCTCGCTGAATGTTAAGAAAGCTCCAGCTAAGCTTTCCTGTTCAGTAGCCTGGCTTTGGAGCCTGGTGAGTGTGGAGGTGAAAAGTTCATACAGGGCTGAGGAGCACTTTTGCAGGCTGTCACTTGGTGGATAAGTGATATTAGTTTATTGGCAAACGTGAGCAGGAGTTTTGAGTATTAATGGTACTCTGAAGGCATCACTTCTGGAACAGTGCTCTAGCTGCCTGCATCTGTCTGGGCTGCTGTTTTCTGTCTGCAGAATGGCATGAAACTGCTGGAGATGGCAGTGAGCCCTGTGGCCAGGCTGTCTCATGATCCTCCCTGGCTGGAGGATCAAAAGTCTGGGAGGATGGGGAAGGGCTCACCTTTGGGGTTGTGTTTTGTATCATCCCTGCAGGAACCCCCTCATCCAGACCACAACCATGGCCACCTCGGCAAGCTCCCAACTCAGCAAAGCCATTAAGCATATGTACATGAAACTGCCGCAGGGAGAGAAGGTCCAAGCCATGTACATCTGGATTGATGGGACAGGGGAGCACCTCCGCTGCAAAACCCGCACACTGGACCATGAGCCCAAGAGCCTTGAAGGTGAGAGGGCAGGTGTAGGATTCACAGCCCCTTGCTGCATGGAGAAAGCAGCTGTGCTTGGCTGTTCCAGAGAAGGGTTGCCATTTTTCTCTTTTCATGGTGGAAGAATGGCACTTGAGGAAAACACTGCTCCTCACCCCCATCCAGTTACCTCTTCCCCCAGATCCCCCAGGGGAATGTTCCCAGCTCTCCAGATGTGGCATTTCAGTGAGATGCCTGGGACTGGGAGCCAGCCCCTGGCACTGTCCTGCTGTGGAGGGGGCTGTTGGCAGGGGCTCGGCGCCCCATTGACTCTTGAGTACTCGTTTTGGCCGGAAGTAGTTTGGCAGAAGAAAGTGGAGGGGAAAGAATGGAGCTATCCGGTGTAATTAAGAGCTTGTGTCCCTCAGAACAAACAGTCCCAGCTTACACAATAATAGCATTAGGATTTTCCCCAGGTTGCCATGGTGCTGGCAGGAGACGGTTATGAAATGAAAATGCTGTGTGTGACTGAGCAGAACTATCTTTCTTTTTTCTTTTTTTTTTGCCTCCTTTTTTTCCCTTCTCTCCCTTACCTTCTCCCTCTAAGGCAGTCGTTGGCACAGCTCCTTTGAAATCTTTGTGTTTCCCATCCTCCCACTTTCCCCCCAGGATATGAAGGAGATAACATTGCCTAGTGGAGTTCACTGCCCCTGCTGTGCTTTGACCTGGAGGGCAGTGCCCAGCCTGGATGGATGGCTGAGGGGGCAAAGCTGGCCATAGTTCTCCTCCATATGAGATTCCACCTACATGTGATTTGTTGTCCCACCTTCTTCAGACCATGCAGCATGAATATGGGATATTTAATGGCTCCTCTCCTTTATACAGCTTGAACATGTCTCATGCTCTGCCCTTTTCCAGCTTGCCCAGCTACCTCTGTGAGGAGACTGGGTGTTCTGCTCATCCCCATGGTTATTGCGACATGGGAAACATTCTCAGTGCTGCTCGGTTTGCTTGGGCTTGGCCAGCAGCCCAGCTCATCGTGTTTTCCTGGGTGGCTGGGAAGTTGCACTCCCTTGTTTTTCTCTTGTTTTGGTGTTCTGTGTTTTTGTGAGTTGATTGTTGGTTTGTTTTGCTTCCCCCCCTTTGGAACTAAAACAGCTGAGCTGGAATTAAACCTATCATAGGCCTGCTCCCTATAAACATCTTCACCCTTGTACTACTGAAGGGCAGCAGGGGGACCATCTTCTTGGTGCCTGGGGACCTTAGGTCACTGTGGCTTCTTCTTCTCTGCTCCAGATCTCCCTGAGTGGAATTTTGATGGCTCCAGCACCTTCCAGGCTGAAGGCTCCAACAGTGACATGTACCTGCGGCCTGCTGCCATGTTCCGGGACCCTTTTCGCAAGGATCCAAATAAACTAGTTCTCTGTGAGGTCTTCAAGTACAACCGTCAGTCTGCAGGTGAATGCACCTTTTCCTGCTGGAGGTGGTGTTTCTGGGAAGGGGAGAGGGAGACATGTCTAAATGTTGGTCATGTCCTTAGCGTTACGCATGACACAGTAATAATCCCTGCCCTGAAGGTAAAAGGCAAATGAAGTGATAGTGGTGTTGCTGGGAGTCAAACTGTGAATATTGTGGAAATGGGGATTGGAGGTGAAGATACTAATAAGGCTTACGTTGCTTTTTCATTCTAGAGTCAAATCTCCGACATACCTGCAGACGAATTATGGATATGGTATCTAACCAGCATCCCTGGTTTGGGATGGAGCAAGAGTACACTCTTCTGGGGACAGATGGACATCCATTTGGCTGGCCCTCCAACGGCTTCCCTGGACCCCAAGGTAATCTTCATGAAGTCTGCGGTGGATCAACTCAGGAGTGCTTGAATTCTGATCAGTACAACATGGCTTAAGTGGTTCAGGCAAACTGAAAGATTTGTGGGGGTTTCCTGAGCTGAAGATGGACAATAGCAAATAGGATATTAGCAAGAACTAAACCATGACATTAAGGTTGTTACGGAAAAGCTAAGATGGTGACTGTCCACAACCAGATTTGCTGCTTGGTTTGATAGTCTGCAGGTGACTTAAACTCATGTCCAGCACTACAGAGCACAAGCCAAGACTCTCAGAGGGACTCACTGTCATCAGTGCTCTGCTTTATTAGTACTTCCATGAAAAACAGATTTTGGGACTTTTCTACACATCTGAAGCATTTGGAGAGTTTTTCCCTCTGTTCTCAGTCTTCACTGACTTTAAGCTTTTTTCTTTCTAGAAACTCACATTCCCCTTGCTGTTCACCTGTGCTGTTGCAGGTCCATACTACTGTGGTGTAGGGGCAGATAAAGCCTATGGCAGAGACATTGTGGAGGCCCACTACCGAGCGTGCCTTTATGCTGGTGTGAAAATCGGAGGAACCAATGCAGAAGTGATGCCAGCCCAGGTAAATTGTTTCAGATGCCTCAGATAATCAGCTAGTACAGAAAAATTCCAGGCAGCAGATTGCTGCGTGCTCTGATTTGTTTTGTTTTATCAATGATCAGAGCATAAGGGGGTGGGAAATGCCTCACAGCAAGTGACTGCACCACTAAGTCTGTGACTCCTCCTCCTTGTAGTGGGAGTTCCAGGTGGGACCATGTGAAGGGATTGAGATGGGGGATCACCTCTGGATTGCACGCTTCATCCTCCATCGGGTGTGTGAAGACTTCGGTGTTGTTGTGTCTTTCGATCCCAAACCCATCCCTGGGAACTGGAACGGTGCTGGCTGTCATACCAACTTCAGCACCAAGAGCATGAGGGAAGAAGGAGGTCTCAAGTAAGTGTTTTGAGCTGGGCTGGTAGCATCTTTTCACTAGGCTGCAGTGAGCTTTTTGCAGAGCTTTTGATGACATGGAAGATGTCAGTTTGGCATGTTTGAGACTTCCTTCTGGATGCTTGTTTTTTGGTGGTTTGTTTCAGGGTTTTTTTGTGGGTTTTGTGTGCTTCTGACAGAAGCACAGGTGGACAGGGTGCAGCTATTCACAACCGGCTGTCCAGCTCTTGATCTGCCAGTGCTGGGAACAGACAAACAAACTCAGCATAGTTTGGGTTTTTTTGTTTGTTTGCTTTTTTTGTTTTGGGTTTCTTTTCCTCTTTTTAATAACCATGATGAAAGAGAAGGACCGTTTGTTTCTGCCTGGGCCAGGCTGTGGAAGCAAATGCGAGTTTTCTTAAACATGATGATCCTGGAAATGTAAAACCCGAGTTCCTGTATGAGACTGATGTACTGACTGCAGGCAGGGACCTTACTGCACTGGGTTGCAGTAGAGTTCTATGAAGGGATTCCTTCTAGCAGTTATTTTCTTGAGTTAATCATAGTGATGTCTTGAGATAATGAGCCAGCCTATGACCAGGTTGGCTCATGAGCTTCCTGAATAGAAACTTGCCTGTTAAGCAGCCTCTGCTCTGAGAGCAAGTTCTCCAGTGGCAGTGTGCGTGTGGGATTTAGCAAGGGATTGAGCTGGTCTTGTCTCACACACAGCACTATTGAAGGACCCTGTGAAATTTGGCCATGGGGATTCTTTTCCGAGAACCAGCCTGGGTCAGTGGGAGGAGTGGAGAGAAGCCCTGTGTTGAGATTGTAGAGCTTAAGGCTTCATCGTAAAGTGGCTTGGGGACAGCAATGACTCTCTTATCACTTTGACACAAGTCAAGTGGCTCAGTGTACCATCCATCAGACACTCACTGTGTCTTCCCCTCTTCCTTGCTTCCTTTGCAGGTACATTGAAGAGGCCATTGAGAAGCTGAGCAAGCGTCACCAGTACCACATCCGTGCCTACGACCCCAAAGGGGGGCTCGACAATGCTAGGCGCCTGACTGGTTTCCACGAGACATCCAACATCCATGAGTTCTCTGCTGGCGTGGCCAATCGCGGTGCCAGCATCCGTATCCCCAGGAATGTGGGCCAGGAGAAGAAGGGCTACTTCGAGGACCGTCGACCCTCTGCCAACTGTGATCCTTACGCTGTGACAGAGGCCCTCATCCGCACATGTCTCCTCAACGAAACTGGAGATGAGCCTTTTGAGTACAAAAACTAAGCAGACTGCGCCCATAGGCATCACCTCCCCCCCACGCTTCCCACACCCCTAAACTTCCCTTCTAGGTGTAATCCCAAGGGTACAGGATAACACATTTTGTGTCTCAGTAACTCTTGTTGTCTTGAGGTAGGGAGGAGGGCAAATTTAGTTCTGTCAATTTCTGGTTGTCATTGACTCTTCAGAAGACAAGAAAAGGAGAGGATATTAGAGAACTTTTAACCACTGTTTTATTTTTTGTCTAATTCATGTGAACATCTTATGAGATCCAGTGGCTTCCAGGAACAGACTACACAGGCAAAAAGCTGGTAGGTGAGTGGAAAGCTTAAAACTACAGTTGACTTCCCCAAGGATCAAATTTGGCTTGTTGCCTCCATTGCTGGCTCTCTGCAGACTAATGGTTCTCTAAGGTTGGTTCCATTCTGTAGAGAAGGGAAGACAGGAGCTGTGATGTAGCCCCATGTGCTCCTAGCTGTATTGTGTGATGGGGAGATCTTCACCCTCTAGTTGCTCTGAGGTTCCTGGTAATTGTTTGGCACATTGAGCTACGCACAGGAGTGGTTCTGTCACTGCAAGTCACCTGATCTCTGTCTCATAACACAGAGTGAAGTAGTATTTTTATATTTAAATATAAAAACGACAAAAAAATTATATATAAGTGTTTCTTAAAAAAAAATAAAATAGATGGCTTACCCAGTTGGAGCAGGCAGAGCTGCTGTGGATGTGGTCAGAGGGCCACCTGGTGGGACTGAGGGTGAGCTTGAGGGCTCAGTGGATGAGACTTGGATGAGGTTTGTTTCAGCATGGACTGGAATTTGCAGGAGGTAGTTCCCAGACTCTGGAAGCCCATACCTAGAGCAGCTGCAGCGTGCTCATTAGCGTGTAGATCAACAGGAGGAAAGGGTCTTAAACTGAGAGCTGACCAGTCTGCTTGGCTGCATTCTGGTCAGGGCTGTGGATGTTTTACCTTTCCGGCAGGGTTAGCATGTCACTAAAGCAGGGCTTTTGATAAAGGAAAAAAATGTTTCAGATACCCCCTTTTTTTTTTTTTTCCTTTTTTTTTCTTTCCCAAGGTTCTTCGTTTCTAAAACTAGGTGGTTTTACCAAGACCATTAATGTCACTGTTGTGTCCTGGCTGCTGGGCTGCCTGCTTTCCAGCTATGATGGGGGCTAGGAGAAGAGAGAGGCCACCCGTCCCTCCTGGCCAGCCCTGGCACCTCCCAGCTCATGCTGGTGAGCTCAAACGTCCCAGGATTTTACATTCGGGTATCTTAGACGGTGCCAGTTATATTCTGTTGCATTTGGACTTCTGCTGAATAGTTGTTGGTTTTTTTGGTTGTTTTTTTTTTTTTTTACAATAAAAAAAGAACAAAATCTTAATTCTGACTTGTGCATTATTCTTGTGATTCAGCCTGGCAGCTGCCTTTGTACGCATGTTGCCTTCACTGTTTGAAGGGAATTTGACCCTGATAGTGGGTAGGCTTTGGCTTTCGTTTGTGGGGTGGGTTTCTGGGCAGTGGTCTTGCAATCCATGTGTGTTCCCCAGAAAATGGGGGTTTGTAGGTGATGGTTGTTTCTCCAGCTGGAGAAACTGGAGTGGGCTTTTCTTGGTGTGGGAAAGGGACTGAGCTTGTGACCATCCATAGAGATGGTTACGGGATAAGTATGGGTGTTTGTGGATCTTTCCATCCTCCATACAGTTCTACAGGATTTAGAAATCCTATAGAAAACAAAATCCCAGCAAACCACAAAAAAAAGGGTTTGTGGAAGAGGACCCTTTCCTGCTCTCCCTATGGAGAAAATACTGCTCCATAAGCAACATTGTGCTGCAAAAAGACTTTCTAGTTAATAAACAAAAATATGTAAAAAAAGTTATAATGAATTAGAAGGAGAAAAAATAATTTTTTTTCTAGACATTGTTTTCTGATTTCTTTTGTTTTTTTTTTTTTTGCCTAAAGCCTCCTGTTGAGTCTGCTTTGCAGTTACCTAAACACCATTTCCCAGCTATACAGGGTAGAGAGGCTCCCTCTTAAGGCTGTGGAACTCTTGCTAAATTGAGCCTGACACTTTCAGAAACTGAATTTGTTGCTTTTGTATTTATATTAAACAGTTTTACTTTTAATCTTAGTTTTTCATGAGGAAGAGAATCCCTTTTTCCTGTTTAATCACACATCCTTAAAATGTGAACAATGGTATAGAAAGGTTCACTGAATACAAGAAAATGCACATATTGGCCCCAAAGGGTTTGCTAGGCACATTGGAGCATGAGGAACTGCTGTGAATCAAGGAATCAAAAAGCACCAGCTTTTTGAAGTGCATGTTGGTTTTGTTCCCTTTCAACCAAACACCAGCTCAGGAGACAAGGCTGCTCCAAGACGATTAATATATCTGCTCACACACCAGACTTTTCCTCATAACTGAATTTTAAGGCAATCAAAATAAGATTAGCCACAGCTTCCTTCAAATATAGCCTGCAGCAAATGAGCTAATCAAGATCTTACTTGCAGCATCTTTTAACACTGAACTGTGCCAGCCCAATTACCATGAGGATATGAGGGCTTTTCTCTTTCTGAAAAGCCTGATGAATCGGGTGTGTCTCGTTGGGTTTCTTCTACCTTTACACAGTCTCAGAGTGCCCTGATGCTGCTCCAGTATCCATATACTGCTTCCCTTTTTTCTTTTTCCTTTTTTCCCCCCCTTTTAATAATTTTAGCACTATTTCATCTTTGTTGTAGATCAGCCTTTTCATCTTATGCAAACTCTGGGTCTGACCACCTCTCTTCCTGAACACAGCTTCTAGAGGAGAAATCAGCTAGTGGTAGGTGGGTAAGATTTTGCTGAGCTGTCTTTTGGATGCTGTTACCTGGAAGGGAAGAAAGGCACTTCTTGTTGCTAGAGAAAATAGTTTTTATTTCTCTAAGTCTCTGTTTTTCTCTTTTCCTGGGATGTTGTTATTGGCCCATGTGACTGTCCTGCATCTCCTTCTGCAGTGGAGGATGGGAAGGGATGGCCCCAGGAAGGGAGCCAGACACAGGCTACCGAAGGGGTGATTTGCATAGCTCTGCAAGAGACTGTTTATGCTTGAACTTCATGTTATGAGAGTAGTCCTACTTTGCTCTCTTGAAATGCCTCCTGGAGGCAGCCCCTCCAATACAATGTTCAGGAAAGTCGTGGCTGAGATCTACGCTCACTGTTCATCGGCATTAGTGTGGAGCCATAGAAGAGGAGCTGGAGGTCTTTTGGCCTTTCGAAGGAGGCCAGGGCATGCTCTGTAAAGGTGCTGTAGCCCAGCCCATGGGGAACAGGTCAGGTGTGGTGGGTTGGTAAGTTTGTGACCCAGATGAGGAAGGTGGTAGAGCAGGAGGGGAATCCTGCCATCATGGATGTCAGTAATTTGGCTTCAGCTGGGCCGGGATTTCGTGCCACTTGTACAGTTACTGATTAAACTGAGGACAGCTGCTTAGGAAACAAGTGGCAGCTCTTGAAAGGAGAGATCTCCTCAGGTCTGACCCTGCATCCCCAGCTGACTGGAAAAGCCAGACAGACCTAGGGTGGCTCGTGAGTAGGTCCTCCATGCACAAGTGGCTCTCCTGGCTCTGCTACTGGGACTGCCCATCTATGTGCAGTGTCTGGTTTCACTATGCTAGCTCTCATGGCTTTTAAATTGAATCCTGACTCTCTTTGTTTTCTGATAAAGGGATAAGTGCATCTGTAGAACTTGCAATATTGGAGACAAATAGCTTTTCCTGAGGTCATGTAGATTGTGGGGGACATCAGTCACTGAGTAATGACCCATCTGGAATCTTAAAGGTGTTTCTTATTAATTGCCTAGTTCATGAAGAAATGGTGATCTCATTTCACAGACCTTGTGACTCTGCTATGAGCTAGTGCTGTGGGGTGTTTTGGGACTGTCCCCCTCTCTTGTGCAATGATCTTTGATGAGAACATACAGAGAAGAGCTCTGAGCAGACCCAACCCTGCTGCTCTCCACACTGAAGCGTTTCCAGGGCCTCCAGCCCCAGTGGGAGGTGATGTGGATCAAGACCTCTTCCAGCTGCTCCTGGAAGTGTCTGGCTTGTGATTGACAGAAAAGAGATCTGGGGCTGGGTGCTTCTTGTGGGTTAGCCCCAGAAACTTGAAGTGGCCTTGTACGCAGAGCATACATAGGTTGACCTCAATGGGAACCTGCCTGACTGTGGAGAAACCCAGGGTCAGCGGGGGAAATCAGGAGGAAAATCCATATTCTGAATGAGCACTAGGGCTGCAGCTCTTCACAGTCTTGTAGGACTAGGGCCTTTGCCTCTCTTAAGCCTTCTCCCTCAATGCTCCTCTCCTCCTCCCCCTGGTGAGATGGCACAACACTGCTGCATGGGTAGCAGTGCAGGGGTGTAGCGAGGCTTTACCTCAGCCAAAATATTACCCTTTTTTCCTCTCCATCCTAGTCTGCCCACAGGCTGGCACGGCTGGGCTATTTGCTTTCATAAGCTGCGTTATGTAAGCCATGTCTTAAGTGGGAATGTGGTGCCAACTTGGACTCTGCAGGGGGAAGGAGCTGCATTCCTCTGCCGGTGGGTTTAATCCCTGCCTCCAGCCACAGTTTGTTTGCTGGGAGGAACAGAAGGGCTGTGCCAAGGTTTCTAATCCCTTGCCCCAGGTGGAGCCAGCTAGTTGCCACGGCAGCCCTGCTTTCCTTTGTGAACAGGTTATGCTCATGGCTCCTCTCAGCAAGCCCTTTCCTTGGCTGCTACGAGGGTTGGCCCAGACATACACACCACGACTTGAGAGACCTTCCTCTCCTCCCCTTGTTTGTTGAATTCTCTGTGCTCTGTGGTTTGATTGCACTTTCTCAGAAAGGCTGTTGGGGAGAAAAATGGAAGTGGAGATTTCAACTATTCTAGCTTGAAAAACAGTGTCAAAGGTGGGTTGCCATGCTGGCGTGGAAAGCAGGCAGGTTGCAGAGCCTGGAGAAGACCACATTTGTGCAAGCAGCTTCTCCATCTGTCCCACCACTGACTGCCCTCCAGAGTGCCACAGCTGCAGGATGTGACCCTTCTCCACCCAGGAGCTGGGGGAGCCCTGGAGATCCTGCACCCACAGGTCCCTGAGGCACCAGCCTGTTTGGGTGCAGGGTGCAGGACAGCAGTGGCTGCTTGTCAGGGTATTTGTTGGCTCCCCAGGAACCTGAGCCCACTGCCTGTAGCTCCTGAGCTCAGGACTGATGACCTTCAGGACCCAATATGATTGGGCATGGGCTGTGTGGGTTCAGAAGGAAACTTGGGGTTTAGATGAAGCTGATAGCAGCAATGCCTTGATGTGTGTTCTTATGTCCTGTGGGTGGATATTAGACTCCACAGTTTTTGCTGGCAGCTTTCCCCAGTGCCAAACACACTGTTAAAATGAAAATCATTAATAAGGTCCAGGTTTAGGCTGCTTTTTCTCATCACAAAGCTGGTGGCTCAAGCCCATCTGAATTGCTTATGGAGATGCTGGGCAGCTGGCTGTATTGCCCGGCTACTTCTGGGCAATGAAGTCCTGAGACAGAGCTTGGCCAAAATGCCTAAAATACTGGGAAAGCAACTGAAAAGGATCCTCCTCTCATACGGAGCTGAACCCATAGGATTCTGGAAAGCACGCTGGCCAGCAGGTATTTGGTAAAATGCTAGGATCAGCATTTGCGTCAA